TATTTATTGAGTGCCCTCCCTTTGTGGCGTTCCCTAGTGAGGAAGCCAGGAAGAAAACCATTTTAACAGTTGACTTAATTGATTGATTTTAAATTGGATTGGAGCTTGAGGGAAACACTCTTGAGGTAGAGCCACACAAGAAAAGACTTACACTGGTTAACCTGGACAGAAAAGGCCTCTGCAAAAAAGTGGGACTTTGGCTGACACCTAAAGAATAAGAAATTGCCCATGTGTAGAGAGGAGTAGGGGAGTCCAGGCAGAAGAATCCATATATGCGAATGTCCCAAGTTGAGGAAGAGTTCTGAGAAGCTTGACAGGAAAACACTATGAAGTGGAAAGTGTTTGTGGAGTCAACTTACCTACTCTCACAAACCACTTACTCCAGAACTTCTCACAGCCTTTATGCTAATGTGTACCTTCAGGCTCTACCAGAAGGATCCTGAGTGTAGTTCCTCCCGAATCTAAAGGCAGACCTCTGAAAGACCAGTGCCCCCAGAATACTCTGGGAAATAGTCTCCTAAAGTATTGATGGTTCTATTAGTTCTGATTGTTTCAAGACACAGGTGATTTGAATGTGCATCACTGCTCGCCCTCTCACAAGGCTGCTGACACCTTAGCTAATTATTCAGTGTCTGATATGGTTCTCTGAATTCTGGCAGGACTCATTTGCAAAGCAAGAGATTTCCACAGATGGGCTGGCGTATGAGCCTTGGCAAGTCAGATACACATTCAAACTGAAAAATGACTGTGTGAAAACCTGATTTTTAAATGATTAAATTCAACAATGATAATCACCTATATTCTTATATCCTAAGTCAAAGACAGGGAAAATGGGGAAATGACAGGACACTGCTTCTACTTACTGTCAATAAATGTACCATGGGATATAGACTTGAAACAAGAATTACTCTTCGGCAGCAGGAAAAACATCTTATGTTCCTTTAGATTTTAGCATCCTAATTACCTATTTCCTTTTTCTGCTGTTTTGTGGGAAGATGCCTAAAATTTACCTCACTTTTTCTGTACTTGATGAATGAATACTCTAATTGCTACACAGGAAAATACTGGGTTTCCTACCTTTAAGATGCTACCTGGGTTCTTAAATTGTTGTGGTCCAAGTTATGCTATACATTTTATACCCAGCTGGCTCGCTCATGAATTATATGGATAATTACAGAAGTGAAAAAGTAATTTTTATCAAAACAGCACAGGATTCTTGAAAGATATTGCTGGTCTTTTAAATCTGTGCCATTGCTATCACCTCCCTCTTCTTTTTAATAACCTCTTCATACACCCTTGTAAATGATAGTTTTGCACAGCCTACTCCTCTTTCCCCCCACAACCCAAAATTCAAAATCAGATCAGACACCTGCTGTTCTTCCCATTCAAAACTATCTCAGGGGCACCTGGGTGGCTCAGTCGGTTAAGCGTCTGCCTTGGCTCAGGTCATGATCCCAGGGTCCTGGGATTGAGCCCCACATCGGGCTCCCTCTCAGCGGGAAGCCTGCTTCTCCCTCTCCCTCTCCCTCTGCCCCTCCCCCCACTTGTGCACGCACACTCTCTCAAATAAATAAAATAAATAAACTTTTAAGAACCTCATTTTAAAAATACTGTGACTGTCGATTTGATTTTAAGAAAATAAGATGATGGGGCGCCTGGGTGGCTCAGTCGGTTAAGCGTCTGCCTTCGGCTCAGGTCATGATCCCAGGGTCCTGGGATCAAGCCCCACATCGGGCTCCCTGCTCGGCGGGAAGCCTGCTTCTCCCTCTCCCACTCCCCCCTGCTTGTGTTCCTGCTCTCGCTGCCTCTCTCTCTGTCAAATAAATAAAATCTTAAAAAAAAAAAAAAAAAAAAAAACACTATCTCTGGAACCAGCAGTAGCTATATATACAGGGATGGAGGTTTAGGCCCAGAGAGAGTTAAATTAATATCCTGGCTTCACCAGTTCAACTTACTGTACATCTTCATTTGCCCAGTAACACAATCTATAGCCAACTGCTAACCAAGTCAATATGTGGTAAGACTAACAGCCACCCTAACTTGCCTTGATAATTATTCTCCTTTAACTGACATAATATTCAATATACTGTTGTTGAGAGCAATAATGCTAAAATTGATGCCTTGAGGGCTACAAGACAATTGAGTTTTAGCCAGATAAAATGACTTGTACGCTAACAGTGCATTATAGGGTTCCACAACCTTTGGACACACATTTTACAGCCTCCTTGCATGAAAATATTACATATAATTATATTCAAAGTCATTTGTGTATACCTTATCATTACTACATATAATTTTTAAAATATTGGCCAATAACCAAATCACATCACTTTAGAGGAAAAGGGTTTATTTCTATAGCCGAGCTCTTGTTTTGAGTTTTCTTTTTTTAAACAAAATAAACATTTTCTCACTACATAGTTTTTTGTCCTTCAACCTCTTGCTTTTTCCCTAAACCAAGAACTATTTTCACAAGGAAGAAATAGATGATAAATGCTAAGTAACAAAAAGCATCATTTAAATAAAATCTATATTACAACAATCCTACCAATAAAACAAGACAGAAACTAAACCTAGTATTCTTCTAATGTAAAAATCATCTATGATTTTCTCAAAATGTCAATCCTAGGCCCTATATGGAGAAACAGATTATATTAATAAGTTTAAGACTTTGTCAAAATCTATATTAAGTTAATAAAAATTAATTATAACTTAAGTATCACAATAAATGACAGAATTCTTCATATGCAATATTTTGCCCTAAAATAAGAGACTTTATAAATCTCAGCTCACGGTTTTGCTGAATTTTCCTCTCCTACTTAATTTCTCTTGCAATTTTGTATTGTTAAAACAAAAAGAAAAGAAAACAAAAAGAAATACGGAGTACATTTCAAAGGACGTTTTCTATGCACGCCTTAGAGATAGGCTGAAACAGAGAAAAGTTAGCACTTAAATAATAATTTCAAGTAAAACAAAGAACAGGTATTGGTCAAGGCAAAACATTAGGACCATATCACATTACAACAAGCAGGTTCCCGATTTACCGCCATCCAAATGCTACAGTGAACTGGGTTGTTAAGAGGGCAACTAATCAGTCATGCACGTATCTGTTTGGACAGAAAGATACCACATACCTGCTCCAGATAGCTCAGGCAAAAATATACACATAGAACTGAAATGCAGCACTTATGACAGAACTAAGCATCAGAGAGGCGGCAGTAAAGGTGGTACTAGATTAGGGCATATTATCGTAGGTTTTGAATAAAGTAAAGAGTGCTTAGCCATGCTAACAATTCTGTGCAAAAATGTGCAAGAGCGTCATTCCTTTCTGTAGAGTAAGAGCTATCCCAAATGGATATTAATAATTATGTTGTGGAAACGAATGTAGAAAGATGTGGCACCATATCTGTTCCAGGCCAGTATGAGCAGGTATTGTGAAACTGGTTCCATGCTTTATTTTTCCTGGCCTCTTCCTTCTGGACCTCATGCCCCCTCAGGTCTCCTGACCACCCAGGACTTAACTTTCCACTCACCCCACTGAAATGCCCCCATCCTGAGGCAAATGAGATAATGCTTGTGAAAGTCTTCTATAAACTAAAAACGTAATATATAATTATTCCTATTATCATCATCATCTTGTCTTCTGAGGGCCAAATTCTTTGTGCCTTCCAAGTTGACATCTCACTAAACTAAGCAATGATTCAATGCTAACCAAAGCAGTCTCAGGAGCAGACAGGTTATGCCACCCTCTGTCTCTCTCTACTTCTTGTCATCATACCTCTCTGCTCTCCTGCCCTGGCTAACACCTGGAGGTACCACATAGGAGAATGACAGGAATGTGTGTGTGTCTATGCCAGGTTAAGGCAAGGGGGAGTGTGAGGCCCTCCACTCTTCGCATACCACACTGGCAGCCAAGGCCTTGCACACAACACAGGGTGACTGGGGGATAAACAAGGCTGGCAGAGCCAAAAACCGTTCTTTTTTTTTTTTTTTTCTTTCTTTCTTTCTGAAGGGGTCAGTTCTCCTGGTATTATCCCCATAAGAAATTTAAAAATCACTTCAGATTCTACCTTCTCCAACTGTGATCTCCTTTGGCAGGAGGGAGTACTTCTTCATCGTCCAGTGTAGTCTTTTTGGATCCTGGGGTCTCCCAACATGCTGTTTTCAACATTTACCCTTCAAGGGTCGTAGGAAGACAGATGGCCATAAAAACACTTCAGAAGCAAAGTACACAATGCAAAGCGACTCATGACATACTGCAAAAAAATGACGAAAAAATGCAGGGAGGTTGGGGTGGGGGTGGGAAGCGGAGACGGTAGGCCTCCAGGAAAAGTCTTAAGACCCTTACCAGATTGCAAGTGCCACTGATACAAACAAGAGGCTCAAGCTGGAAGGACAGGTGCTGTGAAAGCCAAATCTATAACCATGTCTCTGGGTTCTGGAATGTGAGGGTTTACTGGTTATAAAAGCAGAGAGTTTACAGGGGTTACAGTTCTTTTGATTCGAATGAAGATGCAATAAATAAGGTACACAGACAACCAAAAACAAACAAACAAACAAACAAACCACTAAACCTACAAACTCCGTGCAAGCAAAAGCCCTACTAAACCCAGATAAAATGTAATCTCAGATTTTCACAAACACGTCACCCACCTCAAAGAGCCCTTCCTTTTAGTGGGGCTAAATCAGACTTGTCGGAGAAGCAGGAAGCCCACATTGTAGGGACAGAGAGCTGAATTTAAAAAAGATGCAAACAAAGCAACACTAGGCAACAGGTCACTTTTTCCTTTCTACCCTCCACCACCGAGGCCCAGTGCCAGCCTGCTGGGACAGAGGTCCTTCTCTCCAGTTCTACAACAAGCCTGCCAAAAGGAGCACTTTAATCAGAGGAGGGTGTGCATGCCCAGGCCTGTGAGGGGCAGGAAAGAGACCAGGTTCGCAAGGGTTCTCCCTCAACCCGTCCTAGAGCCGGCCAGACACCAGCTTCGCCATCCTCCCCCTACCTGAAGGATGTACCCCCGGACGTAATCCCGCAGAGTCCAGCCCAGGCCGTGCAAGATGTGCAGCACCTCCTCTTGCTTCAGGACACTGAAGAGACGGTCTAGCAGGATCTTTAGCCGCACCGGCACCGCCTGCGTCCCGTAGAGCATCAGGCTGCTGATGTCGAACACCACGTTGGACTGCACGATCTCCACCTGGGTGGGGTGGTATAGATGCTGCGTGCTGAGTTTATCCAAGGCTGTGGTGTCCCCACCAAAGTTCCGGAGGTGGGTGGGAATCCAGAGATCGAGGGAAAGGGCAGAAACAAAGAAAGTAGAAACAAGTCACTGGAAGTTATCAGGGCTCTGTTTCTACAGATGGATCATGACCACAGATGTTTAAGCAAGAGTTTGCAATGTAAACAGTTCTCTTCCCACCCCCTCCCTGCTTTGCCTTTTCTTTTTAACTTGGTATGCTTATAAATTGCAGACAACAGCAAATACAAAACATACTCGACTTTCAGAAAGAGAGCCACTGAGGATGTTTCCAAATGACTGTGGCTGGCTCTAAAAACCTGACTAATTAATTTGCCAATTGAACTATGGCTTAGCCCAAGTTGCCATGATGTCCTCCCCACCCACCAAAGACAGACAGAAAAACAATTCCCGACTCCTGCCGTAAGAGCAGACTTAGCCAATATCAGTTTTCTGAATAAGATTCACCCCTTATCCTACTTGAATGGTTTAAAGAGGAAGAGGAGAAGCTCTTTAGACTACAGGGTTAAAAGGCCCAATTGGAGGGAATAAGAGCTACTAATGTAACTCAAGTTAAATTAGCGAACAGGGATTATCCCAAGAAGTAGTTCTTCCAACTCTCCCTCTTGCTATTCACCTGTTAGACAGTTTAATGTTCAAGAAAAAGGAATTCACGTTGTAACTTGGTCCCTTTTTATAAACAGCTCTGACAAGGGTTTAGTATCTGATGAAAACAGGGGAAAAAATGACAAACATCAAAGTTGAAGAATTTCTGTGTATTTCAGGGATGTTACCTCAGTCCAGAAAACTGAGGATGACCATCCTCACAGTAAATACTTTAGGCCTTTTTCTCCTCATGTCTAAGAAGTTACATCTAGATCTAAAAGCCAAGATAAGGTCATATGTTCTAGTCCCCATCCTTATCTGAGCTCCTGGGAACCCTACTGCAGATAATGTAATTACAGTTTTCCTCAGTTTCTCTACAGTGAACCATTAAGATAACATTGTCTCATCTACAAGGCTCAAAGAGATGCTGCAAAGATTAATGGGATAATGAGTGAGAGGTGCTTTGAACTCGTTAAGAGAGCACAAAAGCCTCAGATCAACTGTCAGAATTATACACAGATGACCTTCCAGAGATTAAAAAAGATAAACGTGTGAGCCTGAAAGATGGTCATCTAATCTCGTAAGTCAGGCAAATGGGCATCAGACAACAACCAGGCTCCAATCGTAACTACACCTGAGAGCGCCCGAGTTTTTTGCAAGTTCTAAAGCACTGCCCGTGCCTTCTCAACCACTCTTCCCAGCACCTCATCCCTTCACAGTATAGGGCTACTGTACATGTGCATGCTGAGCAACTCCTGTTTGAATATGCCTGTATTTCTGCATATTAATGCAGGTAGTTAAAAGTACACGCACACACACACTTTTTTTTAGTATTTCAAAATTTATTTTTTCAGGGTTCCTCCTCCACTCTCGTCTCCTCCTGACTTGTGGTCACCAGAGAGTTCATGTACTCTTGATAAATTGCTTTCTTACATCCACAGTGTAAAGGCCCTTATCATTTACCCGCTGGCTTCATTCAACACATTTACTCCCAGGAATACTCTGTCAAAGAGTTCGGGTTTCCTCATACTTCATTTCTTGCAGCTGATTTGTCTGATCTTTCCTATTCTAGTGGTTAAGTCAACTTTGAATAAATAGCTTTAAAAATTAATTTAACGTTTGGGAAAGATAAGGGATTCACAAGCCTAGGGATTGAAGTCGTCTCTTACTCCACAGGGCATTTAGACTGCAAAAATGTAGGAATGAGGTATTATTATCCCTGTTCTTCTTCAAGTAGAGCTTTACTACTCAGCCTTCTGATGAGTAAGCTACTCTGCTTACAGAATCCAGTAACCAGGTCAGGGGAAATCTACTCCTCTCCCCCATTTCCCTTCATCAACCCTCCTGGCCTGCATCAAACACCTCTTCACCAAATACACTGCCATGACCACCACAAATAGGAAAGCAAGAGCGTTCAGTAGAGGGGAAATAAGATGACACCAAATCTTGATTTCTGTCCCCATGTTTGGTACCTACAGCCGTGCATTAAGTACACACAGGTGTGTGTATCTATGTGTTCAAGGGCTGGATGGGAAGCTGTCACCCCTCTTCCTCCTGCTCTTCAAAAAAGGGCTGGCATTTTAAGAAGGTGAAGAGGACTAAACTGTTGAGGCTCCAGAAACAGAGAGAAGTTGTTCAGAGAACTGAAAGAGCACAAGTGGAAAGGTAAAGCAAAAACATTTCCCTAGATATGCTTTTGAGAACAACAGAGAATAAGAATATTAAAAGGACGTCACCTGATTCTTCTTCATAAATATGCCATATGTCAAAAAGGAGAAATACTGTTATAAGCCACATAAATATACGGCAGGGATCAACAACTTTTTCTGTAAAATGCCAGATAGTAAATATTTTAGGTTTGTGGGTCAAACGTCCTGTTTCACAAGTACTCACCTCTGCTGTTATAGAGGGAGAGGAGATAAGACTTAAACTAATGGGTGTGTCGGTGTTCCAATAAAACTTTATTTACATAAATAGGCACCTGGCCACATTTATACTCTGATATGGAGGATGAAAGTGTGGGCCAGGTACTTAAAGAAAGTCAATAGTAGATAAGGGAAAAAAAACTTGAGAGTGTGTGGGGCGCCTGGGTGGCTCAGTCGTTAAGCGTCTGCCTTCGGCTCAGGTCATGATCTCAGGGTCCTGGGATTGAGCCCCACATCGGACTCCCTGCTCAGTGGGGAGCCTGCTTCTCCCTCTCACACTCCCCCTGCTTGTGTTCCCTCTCTCACTGCCTCTCTCTGTCAAATAAATAAAATCTTTAAAAAAAAAAACAAAACTTGAGAGTGTGATTTAAGCAGTGATTATCTAGGAGATGAGCCGCTGACAAAGGACTGAAAAATTAAACTGCCCCGCTTGCAGGTGTCAACTATAAATTTCAGCATATACATATCATTGAAGATTATGATCTGTCAAATTTCTTGAATGTATCAAATTTTTCTGCTTTACAACTGCTGGATCATACTAAGTCACCAAGTTGTTGACAACTTTTGGGGATGTCTCCTAGGTGAGCAAAGGGTAAGTGAAATTTTTTAAGTGTCCTAATAACAGTAAACTGAGTCTGCCTCATGTCATGACCTTCCTATGTCTGACTGTGGAGGACTCAAGTCTGAGTCTTAGTAGGGTTAGGAATATGAGTTGGGCCAATGGCGATGAATAAAAGGCAGGGCAAGAACTGTTCAGCAGAATGGAGTGAGAAAAGAGGGTCACCTAACTTTACACTTTATGGGCCTAACCATCTTAAATTGTCCTATACCAATGTCCATTTTCAAATGAAATCTTAAGAAAAACGGTATAAAAACATATAAAAGTAAAGCTATTCTTGGTGAAGCTGGAGTGCGTGTGGATTAGAGAACTTCCAATAATTTGTTATTCTCTTCTTCCATTCAACTTGTTTAAACTGGGACCCCTAGAATTGCTGCAAGCACAGTGTAAAAAAAAGGCACTTTTCTATACAATAAGATGATGTCAGCTGTTTTGCCTGCTTTACATCTACTCCCCTTCATTCTGGTACTTGATTTCCCTTTGGGGGGTCACTCTTCTCCTCAGTATCAACTATCTCACAGACCAGAATGTTATGTTCCTTGAGCCAGGCCTGGAAACCAGGATATCCCCAGGCCCCTGGCACAGCAACTTGTTCAAGAATGGGCAAGTGACCTAAGTCTGAACAGTGAGCCTAAATCTAGGATTTTAGTTAGAACTACTGAGAAGTCTTCTCTTTCTTAGAAATTTGCAGGTAATATATATGCTTGAGAATGAGAATCACATGGAAGACAGTTCAGGCTGCAAAATGGTCTGAGAAAGACCAAGTACTGATAATAACTGTTTGATCCAGAAGATATGGATATGGCAATGTTGAGGCCGGAATTTTCAGTTACATGAGCCAAAGAAATCTCTCCTCACTCTCCCTTTTTATGTCTGCCTGAAGTAGGATTCCATAATTTGTATCTAAAGGAGGCTTGACTAAGACAACCACTTTTGGGGGTACTTTTCCAGCTGGATACCATGTAATTTCAAAGCACCTATCAGTGGTTCAACTAAAGGTATATTAGAGTTCCAGGCCAAATGCTATTCACAATTTCTCCGATGACTAGAAACAGGGTATCCTTAACAATTTCATATCTTATACAAATTTACAAAGGGTAATGGATACCATCAACGTTATTAAATAAAAATAATTGTGTGTTGGGGGGTGGATAAAGAAAATGACCATTTAAGTACTAAAAGTCAGGCATCATTCTAGGGGGTTAAAATGATCTCCTTTAATCCTCCAAAAAAATAAAAAACACACAGTATTACTCTTATTGCCTATTTAGAGATCACAGGCTCAGTGAAGTTAAGTAACTGGCCTAAGGTCACTTAGTTATTTCTCCCAAGAAAATTCTGTTTCCACCACATGTTCAGATAAACAGTCAATAAGTCTGGAAACTTGCAAGTCTTCATCATGTTAGAAGTCCCTAACTCCCAGCAATCTGGGCTTCTTGCCCATCACTCTGCTGAAGCAAGCATTTCAAAGGTCACCAACACCTGCCTCACTATGAAATCCAATAGCTTTTTTCCTTCATTATTCTCCATGATCTCTTCACAGCAGCTGACCTTATTGATCACCACTCCTCCTATAATGCTCTTCTCCTTCGTTCACGCATACATTCATTTATTCACCAACACTTAATAACTTATCACCAAGGTAGGTGCTGCATGCAGATGCTTAAGTAATTTATGTTGTGGTCTCCACCTTCAAAAGGAGACAGACGCAATCAGTATAAATGCTATAAAAGAGATTTGATAAAGTACTGTAGGACACAGAAGAGAGGGTAACTCTGCCAGGAACGCATCGTCTTGTAAGATAACTAGGAATTCAGTAAGTGAGAAAAGAGGAGTGCAGTCTAGGTAGATGGAA